GCCTGGGCTGGCCTCAGGCATAACTAGGCTACTGTGCTTACGCTGGTGCTTCTCAGTGCCCACTGCTGATCCAGGCCCTGGAGACCGCCCACCCCGACACCACACCTTCCTTCCGGCAGCGGGAACGCAGCGTCTGAATGTGGCAGAGATGCGCCCCTCACAGAAGTTGCCCCACTTACAGAACGTTACCCCAGGTGATGCTTATTTGGAGGGCTGCATCTCCGGTTCAACAGCTCAAGATCCGCCTCAGATCTCAACCGAAGTCCAGTGGAACCACGGAGCAGCAGCCTCCTTGCCCCTCCCAACTGTAAACGTGTATCATCAACACATCAGATATATATGATACATAATATACATGTTATATATCAGACGTCAACAAACGGAGGGACACGTTGTTTTTCACCAGCCAGCCTGGGTGGCAAAAAGACACATGCCTTAGCTAGAACAAAGCATAATTACAGCAGCAGCTAACTCCCATGGAGCTCATGATGTGTTTTATCTAACCCTCAGAACAATTTTATAGGGTACCTTTACTACCACACTTTTTTTTAACAGCTAGGGAAACTGAGGCATTAAAGAGGTTGGGTAACCTGCTCAAGTTTATAGCTGGGATTCGAACTCAAGGAGTTTGACTCCAGAGCTGAGAGTCCTGACTGTTATTACCTGGCACCACCTGCGCCGGGCACCTTGCCACAGGTGGGTGTGAGCCTGGAGAAGCACGTGTCTGTTTGCGGGAGAAGCAACGTGGTGAGCGTGTCTACTGACCCCTTGATGACCTTGGCGAAGCAGCAGGCAGGCAGGTGACAGAAAGACAGCCTTTCCCCAGGTGTGGATACTGGTGGACATTTAGACTGGTAAGTCAAGTATCTGGCTTTTAAAACTGTGCTGAGAATTCTTGTCATCTGTTTACCAAATACCAGCAAAACTTGTCTGACTGCAAGTCCCTTACACTTCTCAATCTGGGCACTTAAATACATCAATAGAAAATAGGGTCTTAAGTACATGTAATGTTTAGTGGCCATCAAACCTGAGTTCAAGGATCATTTGGGGTGCTGACGAAGTCGCCCACGTCCAGGTGGCAACCCACTTGTTTTGTTTGCTAAAAAGAAGTGCTATGGAGAATGCTTTCTTCCTGCTCAGTCGTCCTAGAGCTGGGACGGACTGCGGGGGTGGGGGGGTGGGGGGGGTGCTTTCCACCGAACCGATGTGCCAAACTGGAAAGAAACAAAACAGAACAAAAATCAAGACAACTCTGGTTCCATTATATTAATTCCCTTGCAGATTGCATAACCCACACCTGAAAATCAGCAGGGCCCAGGGCTAAGCTGCTTTCATTAGAGAAGCCTGGGTTTAATTAGGTTTGACGTTTTAAAAGTATTTTAGGTTTACCTACTGCCTTTAAGGTGCATTGGGCCCAGGCCCCAGAGAGATTAGAAAACAGAAATTAATTTCAAAGATCCGTCAGAGGGAAAATAAAAAGCCCTTAACTTAGACCAACTAGCTACATTTGTTCAAACCACAAATACTGCACCTAGATGGCCTCCAGTCTTGTCTCCTTCACTCCAGTTCCTGCTGACCAGCCGCAGTAATCTTTTAAAACAACGGAAGGCCCGGGCAGTGTGGCTCCGTGGTTGAGCATCGACCCTTGCATCAGGAGGTTGCCGGTTTGATTCCCGGTCAGGGCACATGCCGTTTGTGGACCTGATCCCCAGTAGGGGACATGTAGGAGGCAGCCAACTGATGTTCTCTCTCATTGATGTTTCTCTCTCTCCCTTCCTCTCTCTCTTTAACATCGATAAAGAAAAACATTTTCTTAAATAAAAAAAACAAAGGACAGACCAGTACTCCCCCTGGGCCTAGCCTCTTCTAGCCCAGAGGCTTCAGGTGAAGTCTAGACGTTTACTGTAGCAAACGAGGCTCTGTAGGACTTTGCGGAGGCAGGAGTGTTTCGTGGTGATGATGGAGCAGGGAGCCAGGCTGGCTAAGTCTGAATCCCAGTTCTGCCCTTTGCTGTCTGCGTGACCTTGGGCAACATATCGTCCTCTCTATGCCTCAGTTTTCTTTTCTGTCAGATGGGGGCAATATAGGATCAACCTTGTAGCGCAGTTTGGAGATTCAATGAGTATAATACACATAGAGAGAATAACACAGGACCGGGTACACAGTAAGTTTCACGAGTGTATCAGCTGTTATCTCCCTACTGCCTTCCTTCCCGCCCCTCCCACATCTCATGTTCCTGCCATGTGTATCAGGTAGGCTCCAGAACCATCTTCCAGACCCTCCCACATCCTGTTCCTCTACTGGGAATACTCTTGCCCAAATCCTCCGCTTATCTTCTTTCCACCCCCACCCTCCTGTTAGCTTAACCCGAACGTGAGCTGGGACGCCTATGGAGTCCAGGCCAGCCGCTCCGTGTGGGCTGCCCAGCACCCTAGGAGGCTGCCGCTCGGAAGGGGGCCCAGTTAAGTTGGAATGTCAGGTAACAACAAAGACTCTTTTGGGGTAAGTATGTCCCATGCAATATTTAAGACATACTTACACTAAAGGTTTATTTGTTCTCAGTCTGACATTTGAATTTAAAAGGCGTCCTGTATTTTATTTGCCAACCCTACACCCAGGTGGCCCTCTGTCACAATCCTTGCCACACTTTCATAATGGAGAAAACCTGACAGGTGGTTCTGCCTCCCCTCCAGGCTGTCTGCCCGGTGGGGCAGGGCCCTTGCTGGCTTGGAGGCCTGGCTTTTATTGGCCTCTTTTTGCTGGTGAAGGCCTTGCCTTCAATTTGTGAAAACGAAACATCTGTGGAGTGCAGTAAAGCAAAGAGCAATAACACGAGATGTGCCCTGGCCGGTTCTGCTCCGTGGTTAGAGCATCAGCCTGCTCACCAAAGAGCCCCAGGTTCAAGGGCACGCACCTTGGTAGGGGGTGGTCCCCGGCCCTGGTTGGGGTCGTGCGGGAGGCGACCAGTCAATCTCTCTCTCTCTCCCCCCCCCCCCTCTATCTAAAGATCAAATGGAGAAAGTGTCCTCCGGCGAGGATAAAAAAAACCGAGGCGAACCGAGGTGTGCCTGGCCTGGAAAACAGCGCCATCAGGCCGGAGCTCGCGCGCCCCCTGTTGGGAGTTAACTAACTACAGGCACTCTAGGAGAGCAAAGGGCCGCTAGGCGCACACCCACAGGTGGTACCAGGCGGCTTTGCAGGCTCTCTCCAGCGGGGTGACCTTGTTGACTTCCCAAGGACGGCTTTAAAGTTACCCACTATTTTATGTTCAAAAAGGACTGAGTTTTGTGCCTCTATCACTTGACTCCCAAGGCAAGTACTAATATCTACCTTTAACAGACGAGGAAAAGAAGGCCCAGAAAAGTTAGCGGCTTGCCCAAGAAGACCCAGAAGTGGGAGCAACATTTCTGGCCCCACCGGTTGACTGTGTTCTTTCCCCTGTACTGCACGGTCGTCTGGGCCGATTTGAAAATCAGAATTCTTGGGTTCTTCCTCCTCACACAGGCAGCGTCTCATGAAGGAGCCTGATGTCTGACCCCTCTGCACAGTGACAATGCTCTTCCCACCATGGTTCCCCAACAATAGCCTGAAAGGAGACCGGAAGCCTGGCAGGTGATTCTTAGCTCGTCTCTCATGTTGCAAATTACACTCTTTAGGTCTGGAGACTAAACATTTTGCTCAGATTTACAGGGAAATAGGATAACACTGACCAGAACCCACATTGGTCCTTTTTCTTTTACCTGCATCTCTAGAAGACACCACCTCAAACCCACTAAATTTCTGGTGGCAAAAATTCACGCCTTGGTTACAAGCATTTAGCAGCTTTTTTTTTTTTTTTTTTTTTCTGGAATGGGGTGAGAAATCCTGACCTTCTCTCGGTATAGTGGCCAATAGCTTCACCTCTTGGAGGCCTCTGGGGTATGTGGGCTTTCTGCCCCCCGGGAAGTGCATGCAAAGCTCCCAGATGCACTTGTACCATCAGCCAGTGCGGGTCTTCCAAGGGGTCCAGCTTCTTCCAGGCCGGGAAGCTGCCGACTGACCCAGCAGGGCCTGGAGGGGACTGCTGGTCAGTGCAGACCCCCTGCCTGGACGCCCCGCCTCCCACCCTGGCGCTTCCCTGAGCTTTTGCAGGAAGGGGACACTTCCTGAGGAAACAGTCCCTGTGAAGGAGCGGGGACAGGAAGCAGGGAGTGACCAGGAAAGGCTGGGCCGCCAGGGCAGAGGGGCAGAAGATGATGACCATTCGGTAAAGCGGGAAATGCAACCCTCCGGCAGTGTGTTTTTATACCGCTCCAGCCCACTCGGTGCGCAGTGGAAGTGCGGAGACCCGCTGTCCGAGGTTCCTCGGCTGGACCGGCCGCCAGATGACAGCCGCGCAGAGCCCGGCGCATGGAGGAACCCTGGTTACTCGGGTGCTGCCTAAAACAAAACCACAAAGGCAGCTGAATTGGGGTTATCGCTCGTGTGAGTCACTGCAGAGAACTCCGGTGCTAACAGAACTGTCGCCGCAGCCTTCGTTCGGGCTCGGAGGCGGACCCTTACACAGTGCCTTCCAGGATCGGAGCTGCAGGGAAGGTCCGGACCACCAGGCCCAGGAGGGGGCGGTGCCCCCAGGACCTCTCCTCCTGCGAGCCGCGGAGCCGCTCAGCTGGATCCTGCGTTCACCTGGCCGCGCCGCGCCCACCTGCCAGCACCTCCCGCAGCGACCCCGCTCGGTTGCCTGGGGAACGCGGGACGCGCGCGGAGCGGGCTGCGCAGGGCGGGTGCGCGGCTGCCGTGGCCCCTCCCTCTCGGGCTCGCGGACAGCGCGCTCCGGGGCGGTAGTTTAGCCGGGAAAGCGCGGCTCCCGGCCGCAGGGGTCCAGCCAGTGAGAGGCCGAGGGCGTGGTGAGGGGGTGCAGGCCAGTACTTAGGTCCTTGCCGCCAGGCTCCTTCGCACCCTCGCACGCGCGTCCAGCCCGCCGCAGCCCGGGAGAAGCGGGCCGACCACCCGGCCGCAGGATGGTGACCCCGTGCCCCGCCAGCCCCGTGAGTCCCGCCGTGCGGTCTGGGAGAAGGGACACTGCCCAGTACCTGCGTGCCCCGGTAAAGAAGATTAGGCGCCCACGCCTCCGGAGGAAGCAGCCGCTGCAGCCGCTGCGGCTATGCCCGCTCCCGGGGGACTCGGGCGTTTGCGACCTGTTCGAGTCCCCAAGCTCCGGCTCGGATGGCGCAGGCAGCCCCGTGGTGACCTGGGCGCGAGGCCCTGCCCAGCGGCCCGAGCAGCTAGATCTGCGGACCTTCCGCGATTACGGCCAGAGCTGCTATGCCTTCCACAAGGCACGAGAGAGTCACTTCCACGCGCGGGAGGCGCTGGCGCGGCAGCCACAGGTGAGCGCTGGTAGATCCCCTGCCGTCACCCTTCCCTCCACGGCGCCCGGCCCTGGCCTGGTCCCAGCAGGGCGGGGCTGCCTTTTACTGATGGAGCCAAGTGGGGTCTAGGCGACTTAAGAGACGGGATTAAGACTATTCCTAGGCTGAGTCCGGACTGCTACCTACCCCAGACAAGCTACTTAACAATCCTGAGCTTGTTTCTTCACCCGCAAGGTGGGGACCCCCTAACTCCCCCTGAATTGCTGAGACGCTGACGCCAAGTACTGTTACGCGTTCGGCGCGGAGACAGGCGTCCTGGCGCCCAGCCCACCCTTCCAAGCGGCTTCGCCAGCGCTTCCCAGTTTACAGTCGTTTAGCTTTTCCCTCTCCCCTCTGCCCCCCTCCGGGAAGCTCCCTGGGTGTCCTGGCTCGCCCCGTCCGCAGCCCCTCTGCCCGCGGCTCAGCCGCCGCCTCCCCGCTCCGCCCGGCAGGTAACCGCGGAGTCCCGCTGCAAGCTTCTCAGCTGGCTGATCCCCGTGCACCACCAGTTCGGCCTCTCCTTCGAGTCGCTGTGCCTGGCGGTGAACACGCTGGACCGCTTCCTCACTACCACACCCGTGGCTGCCGACTGCTTCCAGCTACTCGGGGTCACGTCCCTGCTCATCGCTTGCAAACAGGTACCCGCCCGCGGGGTCTGGGGGCGGCCAGGCTCCTGGCTGCTCTGGCCACCCGGGTTTCCAGCGCACGGGATTTAGTGGTGGGCTCCCTGACCTCCTTCTGGCAGACGTTTGCAAAGTTACCCCCCACCCCACAGCCTTCACTTCACAGCCCCCGCCCCCCACCCAGCCACCAAAGAAGTAGGCTGCAGTCAGTCCCAACCGCTCTTTGCGGAGCAGCTTTACTCGCCTTTAAATGTCCCCAAAGCTTCTTTTAACTGGACACTAGTTAGAGAAGATGCGCTGGAAGACCAGCCCAGGTGACTTAAGTGGAAGTAATGGCGTGGCGAGCCCCAGCTATCTGGCTGGAAGGGCGAGGGGGAGCTCCGGGCTTCTCCCGGGTTTGAGGCTGGGGTGTGCTGTGGGCCCTGGAGGCTGCACGGCCGGGGCTGAGCGCCCCTGTGCTGCAGGTGGAGGTGTACCCGCCGCGCGTGGAGCAGCTCCTGGCCCTGTGCTGCGGCGCCTTCTCCCGTCAGCAGCTCTGCAACCTCGAGCGCATCGTGCTGCACAAGCTGGGCTTCAGCCTGGGCGCTCCGACCGTCAGCTTCTTCCTGGAGCACTTCACGCACGCACGCGTGGACGCCGGGCAGACCCCAGCCTCCCAAGCCCTGGAGGCGCAGACGCTGGCGCGCGCGGTAGCAGAGCTGAGCCTGGCCGACTACGCTTTCAGCAGCTACGCCCCTTCCCTGCTGGCCATCTGTTGCCTGGCGCTGGCTGACCGTATGCTCCAGCTCCCACGCCCCCTGGACTTGAGCCTGGGCGGGCACTCGGAGCGCGAGCTGCAGGCCTGCCTGGCCAAGCTTCGGCTCCTGGTGGCCATCAACGAAACTTCCCTGACGCACATGCTGCCCTTCGAAATCTGCGACAAGTGCAGCCTGTTGCCGAGCTTGAAATAAAGTCCATCCTTGGTCTCCTTTTAGCCCTGGTCCGGCGCTGGACCCCTCCCACTGCTTTAGAAGGATGCAGTATCGGCCCATGGAGAGGGGCTTGGGGCTTCCACGTGGTCACCAGGTCATCCTGTGGGTTGTAAATAGTAGACAGTTGCATCTGTTTATTTTACCGAGAGCACACTTTCCCCAATAAACAGGCTGTGTCCCGATTTGTCTGAGTGCTCCTCTTGTGCTTGTTTGTCACCAGGAGGGATGGTGAAGCCGGCCAGGCAGAAGCATTGGCAACAATCCAGGGGTCCTCCCCCCTCCAGCTCCACTCTGTCATTGGCGTCTCCTATACGAATGCCAGGTCAGCCCTGGCCAGTGTGGCTCAGTGGGTTGGGGCATCATCCTGTGCAGCACAGGGTGTCGGGTTGGATTCCTGGTCAGGGCACATGCCTAGGTTTTGGTTTGATCCCCCATGGGGGTATGTGAGGCAATCGATGGATGTTTCCCTCTCACTAAAAAACCAATAATAAAACCTCCCACCGAGTCCACGAGGTCCAGGTGGCGTGGTTCCAGTTACAGGGCAAGTCAGGGTCACTTGGGGGCCTGTATCCTGTAACCCCCTCCTGTCAGGACAATGAGGAAGGCTCACCCCCAGGGATCCAAAGGGTGTGATGGGGTATGAGGCCGATGGAACCCACCTGGAGCCCACCGCAGTCCATGCTGTGTAGAGGGGCCAGGGAGCACGTGCTGATGCAAAGGGGGCGCAGCTGGGAAGGGAGAGCTCCCGACAGCTCACAGATGCTGGAAATCAAGGCTTTGCAGGGTGGTAATGGCCACTACGAATCGAATCGAGCCCTTTTACCTGCAATCACATGGTCCAACAGCCCAGCTTCTCTACAGCTGCTACGCGTGAGCCCCGGTGACAATGGCGTAATGGTAGTGGTGGCTACCAGTGAGCACCGAGTGTGCCAGGCGCTGAGCTCGGCATTCCTTATTTCAGCCCAACAGTTCTATGAAGTGGTGTCTAGTCATGTTTCAGAGGGAAACAGTGGAGCAGCCAGGAGCAGAAGGCAGGCGCTCTGCGTCCAGTCCCACCCGCAGGCACACTGCTCACCTTCCCCCATGTACGGTTTCCTGCAAGTGCTCAGAAACCCTCCTCTTGAGATGGGTGTGGCTGCGCAGTCCTAAGACACTGCTGTGAGGCCTGAATGAGATTGTGGTGAGGTACTGTGCAGTACCAGTTAGACAAGTGACTGGAGTCATTGCTGACCTTCTCAGTGTCTCATCACTATGTCTCTTCTGTAAAAATGGGAACAGCAGTAGCACTTACCTGGGAGGGTTGAGGTGTGCATTTAGTAAGATGTTCTGTACAAATCCCAGCACAGTCCTGGCACATAGCAAGTCTGCTAGGGGGCTGGTGGCGGCCTGCACAGTGAAGGGGAGGGGTGTTACACAGAGAAAAACTTGGAGACAGAGCTAGAGATGACGCACATGCAGGAAAACGTTACCAACTGGAGACGAACATACTGTTGTTCATGGTACTGTTCTAATTTTCTGTGTGGTTGAAGAAACAGTTTTTTTTTGTGTGTGTGTGGGGGTCATGTTCTGTGGCATTTAGAATAAGTCTAAATGTATGACAAATATGCACAAATGAAACACAAACTCAAAGCAAGTTTAGAGACTCTTCCTTGCACTTTTCACATGAACCCTCCAAGTACTCTCCGGAGTCAGGACCCCTCCCTGGTGATATGCCAACTCTCAGGGAACTTCCTCCTCCTTGGCTCAGGCAGGAGGAAGGTGATCCCCAAGCTGACTGAGGAAAAGCTGGTCTGTGATGGTAAAAAACAGGTGGAGAAAAATCATGTCATCTGTTCAAATTCCAAAGTATCTGGAGCCCTCCGCCTGGCTGGGAGGTGGGAGGCAGGGAGGGTAATGGCCCTTCTGCGGAAGTGTGACTTTGGGGGGACCTGTCTTCACCAGCAGCACTGCATCACTCTGCCAAGATATGGGTGATTTGGTCCAATCATCCAGACTAGGAGTCATATAACCATGACCTTTCGGCTTCTGTTGTCATAGATAATCTATAGACATTTTTATGTATAACGCCCATATTTTTTCTACCCCAATTTGGAACTCACTGATAGAAAATGAGCCTGTTCTGGATAATCAGTGGTAGAGATCTTCCCCAAACTTAGCTATTCCCTACTTTTACAGACTTGGAAGTCCAGGAGGACAGGGTGGAGGATGGGCTGGCCAGTGGCTAGGCTACTCAGGAACCGGAGTAAGCAGGAGACAGAGCCGGGAACAGGCTGTGGGAGGCTGGAGGTGCAGCTGAAAAGCTCCCTAAAACAACATCACTGTATCCATGCACGTCCTGTGACATAGCTTCACAGCAACACTGCTGACATCAGTGGTCAGTGTTTCGTTTCTCCTAAACACTAGGGTTCCGGAATCTGGTGGAGTCTGGTTCTGACCCTCAGTCACTCTGACCCTAAAGCCAGAGCTGGTCCTGACATCACACCAACTCCCGCTGACTGGGCTCACCCAGCTGGGTTCCCCCATCGAGAGACTATCCCAGTCTCTAAGCCTGTCCCCACTCTGCACTGGGTTACTCCATCACTGTTAGGGCCACGGCGTATTAACCCAGTTACTAGGTGTAAATAAAGAGGGCTTTCACTACCAGGTGTAAGACACGAACAAGTTCCCCAATAGGAAGTCACAGATATCCCAATTTCAGACGGTTGTTCAAATTAGATGGATATGAGTGGTCCTGAGAGAGGCCCCGTTCTGGGACATGCTTGGGAAGGGCAGCAGGCCCTCGTAGGTAGAGCAAGCAAGACCCACAGAGCCCAGAGCAGCTGAGGCCCTGAGGGAGGGGGGCAGGGCCAGGGCTGTAGGGGATTTGGGACTGTCTACTGTGGCGTTTTCAGAAACTGGAGGACAGTTTGTAGGTGTCACTTTTTTCCCCCCTCACCCAAGGACATTTTTCAATTTTTATTCAGGTAGAGTGGGAGGGAGAGAGAGGAAGAGAGAGAGAAACATTAACGTGAAAGGGACACATCGAGTGGCTGCCACCCGCACGACCAACCAGGGCCGGGGACAAACTGCAACCGAGGTACGTGCCCTTAGCGGGAACCAAACCGAACCCGGGTCTCTCTGGACCGCAGGCCGATGCTCTAACCTCTGAGCCAAACCGGCCAGGGCTGTAAGTGTCACTTTTTCTTAATTGACCCTCTTTTAAAGGCAGTGTTCAGGTGCTGCTGCAGGGGAAGTGGGGGGCTAGGGGTGCGAGGCGGGGCTCTAAGCCTCAGACCTAGAGAGACCAAGTGTAAGTTGGTGAGTTAAGGCCAGGAGAGCTTCCCTTGGAGCCTTGGGAGAAGAGGCTTCTGTGATGGGGGGGTGCGGGGGGAGGGCGGTGAGTTCCCACTGGGATGCTACACCCCACAATACCCTACCGAGCGTGGCAAACGATGGCATCTGTGCTTGGAGACTGCACGTTTATTTCCTGCTCGGCATCTGAGGTGGAAAGAAAAGGTTAAACGAATCCTTAACGTTTCATCCCCGCTGTCCAAAGGCGGGAAGGTGGCACCCAGTGTTAGGGACCGGTGGGGCCCTCTGCCCCTACCCTCCCTCCCTCCTTTTGGCGCGACCTGGAGGCGGCGGCGCCAACACTCGCCAAAAGGGCGCTGGCGGGCCCGGGCCCCGCGCTCCCGGCTCCCGGGGGAAGCCGTTGCCGGGTTGGGTTTAACGCCTCCGCCGGCGCGCAGATTGTCCGGGGCTGAAGGCGCCACCTCTGGCGCTCCGGCGCGAGCCGCCCCTCCCGTGCGGCGGGGCGGTCCTCCCTGCCCCGGCCCTCCCTCCGCCCGCCACAGTCGCCCCTCGGCTCCGCCCGGCCACGCGCCTTCCGGGACCTCCAGACGGCTGCTGAGCCCGCAGCGCCCGGGGGAGCGCAGGGCGTGGGAGCGCGGGGTCTGGGTAGCCGGGCCGCCTCCTCCGGGCAGTCGGCGGGGCTCCTGGGCCGAGGACGGCGCGCAGGCAGAATGCAAGCTTGCGAGGGAGCAGCGGCCGGACGCCGGGCCTTCGACAACATCTGCCCCAACAGGATGCTGGAGCTGCGGGGCCGGCCCCTCGGCAAGCCCGGGAAGCTGGAGAGGAAGGTGGGGCCGGGCCAGGCCGGGCGGGGTCCGCAGCCTTGGGCCCGTGGGCTGACCCGCACTCACCGTTTCTGTGCCCACACAGTTCGCCCCTCCGCGGAAGTTCTTCTCCGGTTGCAGCAGCCCCAGCCCAGTGTCGGTGTACGAGGACCCCCCGCGCACCGAGCCCGCTGTGCTGCCTGGTGAGCCTGGTGGCCCCGCGCGACCCCTCGGGTTCCCCTGTGCTGGGCAGGTGGGGCGCACGGGCTGGGAAGAGCTGCTTTCCCGGGCTTCCTACGTCCTGGCGGAGATGCCAGCGGCCAGCCCTTGGGGGACCGCTCACGCTCCACCGCCCGGTGCGCGTCTCCGCTTCTCCCCGTGCAGCCCTCACCACCATCGACCTGCAGGACCTCGCCGACTGCTCGTTCCTCGGGCCCGACGCGCCGCCTGCCGGTGACTCCGCCACCTCACAGGTACCTCCTCTTCCCAGCGGGCCCCTCACCGTTGGTGGTGCGCCAACTCTCGAGTAGCCCGGTTCGTTTCCGAAAAGGCCCCTCGCCCGTGGGAAGCGCAGGCACCTCCCTCTGGCTAGCGGGGGACGTGGGGCCGGAATCTGAGCCCTGACGACCAGATTCTCCCTTCCGACTGGTGTGTCTTGACAACCGCTTCTCAGGGCTGTTCTGAGCACTTGGGCAGGGGGCTCACCTGGAGGGCTCCCCAGTCTGACCGGTCTGCTGTCCTTCCTCCCGTCCGTGTCCTGGAGCCTGGACAAGGCAGAGTGGTGACTGCACACCGAGGGGCTGGGGCCCAAGGAGGAGCACAGCTGCTCGGTGGGCATCTGACAGGTCTTGTCTGTCCCCCAAGGTCCCCTCCCCGGCCTTTCATTAACCATTCTCATTCCTGGGTATGTAAGGAGTGTGGACCTCGGAGGATGACTCCTGGATCGAGACTGGAAAAGGCGAGAGTTTACTTCGGGAGAAGCTGGAGGAGGAACAAAGGACTCTGGGAGAAATCTGCAGACGTTCCTCTCTGCAGATGTGGCCCTGCAGCAGTTGGGCACTTCTCACCCCCCACCAAAGGCTCACATAACTTACCCTCAAGGGACAAAAAGGCATTTGACTTTTTTCTTCTCCCCCCAAAACTTATTTTCTTTATTTCCATCCCACTGCACTGCTTGCCAGGGCTCACTGTCCCCAGGCAGGTGGTAGAACGTCCCAGCACTGCTGTCTGGGAGGCCAGAGCCTGCTCATCACAGGATATGAAGTGCCCAGCAGGACAGGAGGTCTTAGCTAAAAGCAACATGGAAGGATGCCAGTCCCAGCTTCCTGGCAGCAGGTGCTGGGATATGAGGTCCAAGGGGACAGTCCCAGCACAGAACTCTTTATTTTATTTTTATCCTCACCTGAGGACACTTTTTCGTTTTTTTGTTCAGATAGAGTGAGAGGGTGAAGGAGAGAGAGAGAGAGAGAGAAACATCGACGTGAAAGGGACACATCGAGTGGCTGCCCCCGCACAGGGCCGGGGACAAACTGCAACCGAGTTACATGCCCTTAGCGGGAACCGAACCCAGGTCTCTCTGGACTGCAGGCCAACACTCTAACTGCTGAGCCAAACCAGCCAGGGCAGCACAGAACTCTTTAGAAGATATGACCACCTTCCACAACTAGAGTCGGTGGTGGAATAAAGCTTCCTAGGGCCTCCTCTGAGTGCCCCTTAGAACTGGCCACTGAGAGCAGAGATTGTCAAGGCAAAAGGTGAGAGTGGGCACGGCCCTCTGGAGGCCTTTCTATCATTGTTTTTAAATCTGGATGTTCAAATAAGGAAAGACAAAGTCTGAGCATCTTTCAAGTGGCCCAGAGTCTACTACACACTTCCTCATTCCAATGTATTTATTTTGCAAGTAACGAAAACCAAGTAGGCTGGTGCAGAATGTTTGCTTATGTACACAGAAGTTAAATTTGACATCATGTTCTGTGTTAGTCATTTTTGGGGGCTGCTGCTGTAGTGGGAGAAATGCCAGATTTTTTTCTAACTGGGAAGGTAGGGTTCAAAATTTTGGGGACCGAGCTCACAAAAGATGGCCCAAGAGGTCCAGGACTTCTCCTGGTGAAGACAGAGCTGCTGCAAAGGGAGAGGGACCCTGAGGGAAGGTCCCCTGGGGAGACCTCTGACTAGTCCACACTCAGTCACATTTCCCAGCCTTCCCCCTGCCCAGAGCCAGTGAGACCGGGCCAGCACCGAGAAGGTATTTCCTAGGCCCCAGGTCCGGAGGTGGCGTCCAGGCTCCTCACATGCAGGACTTCTCTACCATCTCTACCGAGAGGAAGACCTGGCTGCCCTTGGAAAATACATCTCCTTCCTGGCTCCTTCAACCAGGGCCACACCTGTGCCTCAGATTCCTCAGCTCCTCGCTGGTGCCAGGGCCCCCTGGTTGAAGCTCTCCTCCCCGAGAAAAGCTGGCTCTTCGAAGTCAGTGTCAGAATCACTTCCTCTTCTCACAAATATCTGAACAGCATGAAGAAGGGCTTTAAGAAGCTCGGGACTGATACAAAAGAATCTATCAGTCAATACTAGCGCAGTCAGTAGAATAGGTGTTTTGGCAAGCAGACTGGAGGCACCCACCACACATGCCCCTGGAGACCCCTCTTTCCGGGGTGTCTGCGCTGGAAACCAGGCTTCCTAAAAGACAAATGAAGCCAGGGCACTGAGGTGTGGAGGAGGAGGATTGGCATAGGCACCAGCATTCTGGGAGGAACTCCACTGCTTCAGAGCTGGGTGACTTTGGGCAATTCGGTTCCTCTGAGCTTCAGGTTCTGCATCAGAGGAGTCGTCCTCACCTCCTGGGCCCTGCCTGCTTCCCACTTCGGTGTGAGAATTAACTGAGAGACTCTGTGTGAAGCGTTTTGTCAACTCTAAACGTGCGGGAATTAAGGGGATAGGCAGGTTCCTGGGCCACCTGGCTCCTGACGGCCCCGCCCCGGGCACATCGCAGGGACCCAGGACAGAGTCCAGTTCGGGATCTGGAGATGCAGCCACTCTACAGGAAAAGTCAACTCTGACTTTTTAGAAAACAAAAGAAGTCGCGACCCCGCCTGCAGTGTGCTGAAAGGAAGCACTTGCCAGGGCATCTGTGGTCCTCAGATCACAGCCTACCCTTTCCCCGTCTTTGCGAGGAGAGGTAGTCCAGCTGTGACCCAGCCTTGGCGGGAAACACAGCCTCAAGTCACTGCCCTATATGAGCCTGCGGGAGAGGGGTGGGGGTGGGGGGTCCCGGGAGGAAAGACCGAGCGCTCGCTCACACAGAGTTCCTGCGTCTAGAGCGAAAGCTCCCAGGCGCTCCGACGCGGGTCGCACTGAGGTTGGGAGGGCGCAGCAGGAGCGCGCAGCAGGCAGCTGGTTGGCTGGGGGTCGGCCAATGAGGCGGCGCAGGGACGGGGACTGGGACTGAGACCCAGACAGTACCGGTCGTCAGAGGCGGGGTGCCGAGCCGCTGGCTGCCCTGAGCGCGGAGGGACCCAGCCTGACACAGCCCAGCGCGGTTGCGGAGCCTTGAAGGACCCTGGCGGACTGGACCCCGTGTCCTGCGCCCCGCTCTCTGGAATGGCGGTGCAAGCCTGCTGGGTCCCGCGTCTCAAATGGGGCTTTGATGTTCAGGTGGGAGGCTCAGCCGCAAACACGAGTGGCTGCAGACCCCCGCCCGGCCGGAGGGCAGCTGTTGGTGTAGGAAGAGTTCCAGGCCTGCCTTACTCGGCACTAACGTTTGCACCTCTGGTTTATTTCAGAGCCTGGCCCAGCACACGGTGGCGGACTTCGATCTGCAGGATTTCAGAGTCACGGTGGAGGATCTCATTGCAGGCAAGTGACGTCTCCCCGCAGTTCCATAACGGCGGCGGTGTCCCCACCCCATCCGGACTAGTTCAGAGTTCAGGGTCCTGTCGCCTGCAACTCATCAAAGGGTCAGGCTCTTCGATAGTCAGGAGACCCCCAGCCTTCCAGTGGAGATGAATCGCAAGGTCTATAGCGCTTTCTGTTTTCGCGGGTGCGTTCTGGGAGGGGGCCCTGCTCCATGAGGAGTTCGGGAGAGGTGACAAGACTGTGCAGAGCTGCGGACGTGTGTGAGACATCAGGCAGGTTGGCCCCGGCCCGTGGGAGTCAGTAAGATCAACTCCAGAGCATATGCTGAGCACCTGCTGTGTACGTACGGGTATCCGGAAGGACCCGGGAGTGCTAGGGATTGCGGAGCGAGGGCTGCTGTACTGAAGACAAGTCTCCACCTACCCTGCATCGGTTGACACCTTGTGCCTGAGGCTGCAAATCCAGCTCCTGCTCTCCCTCAGACTCATCCTCGGTGATGTTACCTCCTCTGGACGGCGGAGACTTCCCCTTCTCTCCTTGCGACACACTGGACACACTGTCATTCGGGCCCTGCCTTTCCCCTCCGCTGGACCCACAAACCCTGCAGTCTCCGCCACCGCTGCCGCCACGCCCTGCGGACGTGCCCCCATCGGAGCAGTACTGGAGGGAGGTGGCCGACCAGAACCAGAGGGCGCTGGGCGACGCGCTGGTTGAGAACAACCAAGTAGGGACCTTGGGCTGGCCGCCAGCGATCCTGGGGTGGGGACAGGGTGTGGAACTCCAGGAGCAGGACTATGCCCCGCCAAGGTGGGAACCGTTGGACCCACGCGTGGCTCACCTGGCTGCTCTTGGTCCAGGGGCTAGCTCTACCTCAGTTTTCAGCTTCACTGAGTGGGAACAGCCTGACTCGGCCAGGTTTCTGTAGGGCCACTAGTATCTATTGAGGGCTTTCCATATGCCTGGCATTGTGCTTCCCAATTCACGTTCTCCTCCCATTTGATATTCGTCATTTGAGCTAGACACTGTCACTAGCCCCGCTTTGCAGGTAAGGAAACGGGGCATAGGAAGCTGAGCTCCGGAGCAGAACCTAGATCTGGGCCCGCTGCCCAGGTCAGCACTGTTCGCCCTGCGGAGGGTTAGTGGAGAAAAGGCTGCTTCCCATCAGCGTAAATGCCCTAGGGTCCCAGTTCCTGATTGGGCGTCGGGTCTGCGTTTAACTGGCGCAGAGCGCACTGGAGCGGGCCTGCCTCTCAGGGTTCAATCTCCGCAGCTGCACGCGACACTGACCCAGAAACAGGAGGAGATCGCGTCGCTCAAGGAGCGCAACGTGCGGCTGAAGGAACTCGCCAGTCGGACCCGGCACCTGGCCTCCGTGCTGGACGTAAGCGGGCGCGGGTGTGGGACGCGGCGGGCAGTCGGAAAGGACCCGTACACCGGCCCGCTTCTGGCGTTGGGCCCTGGCGGGTGGGAACGGAGCGGCGGAGTCCTTGCCTGGGGCGCCGCTCCAAGTGCGCCCGGGACTGCGCGCCCGCAGCGCGGGTGCGGCTGGCCCCAGGCGGCGCCCTTCCCGTCTTTTGTAGAAGCTGATGATCACCCAGGCCGGGGATGGCGAGGCGGCCGCCGAGCCCCGCCTGCTCAAGGCCACTGCCAAACGGAGTCTGGAGGAGTTGCTGGGCGCTGCGGGGCAGGACTGCGCGCGAGTGGACGCCATCCTGAGGGACATTTCCGAGAGCTGCGACGAAGCCTTGCAGAGCCACGACCCCAAGCGGCTCCGCCTGCAGCCGGAGGCAGCGAGCCCGGCTCCGGGGCCTGGGGGCCTGCACGGTGCCTTCCGGGGGCTGCACACGCACTGCAGCCCGGGCGCGCTCGACCTGAGCCAGGGGGAGCTGGAGGAGGACGGCGCCTTCTGCACCCCCATCCGCAGCCACAGCACCATCCGCACCCTGGCTTTCCCGCAGGGCAAAGCCTTCACCATTCGGACGGCCAACGGGGGTTACAAATTCCGCTGGGTCCCCAGCTGAGCTGACGTGTGATTCCCTCCGCCCCGCAAAAACATTGCGCGTGTTCTTATGGAAGCGCCGAGACTAAGCCGGAGTCGCTGGGGCTGTTTTTGCACAGGGCTTCCCAGACCCCCCTGCAGGGCCAGGGCCACCCGAACCTGATTTTTCCCCAAGAGCAAATCTCATTACTGACGCACTGTACAGTTCTGGTACAAATACCCTTTTCACCGCAAAACTGCGTGTGCAGGTATTGTGTGTATAAACACACGCGCGTGTACCGCTGTCAAGGTAATAGTTTCAGCAGCTTTAAATGAGGTACTTTTGGAGCCATAAGGAACTTAGAGACCACTTAGTTGTTTTATAACTATAAAACGCCCGGCTTTGTAAGAGGGGAAGGAGACGTCATGTCTACAACGAGAAGCACGCTGGGGAGTCCCGTCCCTCTCACTGGTCACCCAGGCTCCGGGGGGAACACCTCATCACTCCGCCTCGCCTGGCCCTGGAAGGACACTTAACTCTGAGACGACTGAAAACTTTTATTCTAGCTGCCAGAACAGAGCAGAGGAGAGGTAGGCTGAACACCTGCGGGACAGCGGACAGCGAGGCAAGGAACATGTGGGTGCTCAGAGCTGTCGACCAAGTAGGTGCTAAAAAACGTTTGTTTGTAATAATCATGCGTATCATTTTGTCAGATTTGTGGTAAATGTTCATGTTAATTCTATATCCAGTTGTGTCTAAACAGAATAACTACACAAAAAGCAAACTTTGTTCGTGAGACACAGAAGTTGTTTTTAGAAAGTGGCCTAACCCACATAGAACAGTTTTCCTGTTTATGGTCAGAAACAAAGTGTGGACATTTGGCAGAAGTAAAACTACCTATTTGAATTCCACGGGTAGAACTGGGGTGCACCTTCACTTGTGTGTATGTTTTGGCTTGACCTCCTCAGGAAAGCTTCCACGTTCTATATAGTGCCTTCATTTCGACTTCTCTTCTCATCCCTTTCGTGGGGGGTCCTTTTTCTTCTCTGTTGTGAAGGTATGTGAGTAGCAATGTAATCTGGTTCTTAACATGAGGGCGACTTGTTGGACCAGGGCTCCGCCTGGGCCAGTGCCCTGCCCTGCTGGGTGCAGGGACCAGGTGACAGGAGAGCATGCAGGGGCAGAACCTGCTGCTCCAGTTTGTCCTGGGTGCTGTTCTCTGTATTTCAACAGCCATTCAGAAAGCAAAAAACAGACTACATTTTCTCATATTTTGTCTAACAAATGAGTTAAAATATACACTGGACGGCTCAGAATTCTTTTTTTTTTAATCCTCATCCAAGGATACTTTTTTCCACTTTTATCTTCAGATAGAGTTGGGGAAAGAGAGACAGAAACGTCAATGTGAGAGAAACACATCGATTGGTTGCCTCCCGCAGGACCTGACCAGGGTCAGGACGAATTGCAACTGAGGTATGTGCCCTTGATCGGAATCAAACCCGAGACTCTTTGGTCCTCAGGGCGATACTCTACCGCTGAGCCAAACCAGCCAGGGCCGGCTCAGAATTCTTATCAGCTCAAATATGAAGTCAACACATTCAGGACTAGAAAAAATAAAAACAAAACAAAAATTCTTAACTAATCCCAAGAAGCAAGAAACAATCAGCTTGTCAAAAGTTATTTTCTTCTTCACTCCCTGGTTAGTATTTTTATAATGCATTAGCTTCAATGATTGAAAAGTTAAAAACTTTTGTTTGTTTTTTTTCTGTTTGTCTTATGCCAAGATTTAAACAAAATTGCAGTTCTAACTGCCATTCAAATTACAGACTTATAATTGCTGTCAGTCACTGGTAACTCTACTGCTTTAGTGTCTCCCATTTCTGGGGGGCAGGGAGTTGTGGGGAGCAGCTCTCCTGTGATCCAGTGGCATAAATTGGCCCTGGCCAGTTTAGTTCAGCAGTTAGAGCATCGGACCACGGACCAGAGAGTCCCGGGTTTGGTTCCCACTAAGGGCACGTACTTCGGTTGCAGTTTGTCCCTGGCCCAGGTTGGGGTCTTGTGGGTGGCAATCAGTCGATGTGTCTCTCTCACATCGATGTTTCTCTCTCTTCCTCCCTTTCTCCCTCCCACTGTATCTAAAGATAAATGCAAAAATGTTCTCGGGTGAGGATAAAAAAAAAAAAAAAGATTAGGTTCATCCATTCAACAGGCATTTATTGAATGTTTCTGAGACTTGCTACTACAGATGAATGCCAAGAAAACAAAAGAACAAAACAGAAAGACCTTGCCCTCATGGATCCTGTCCCTGGGAAGGGACAACTACTGAACGAATATCTAAATGCCGAGAAGGGGAGTAAGGATAGTGTGTCTTAGCTGAGGCTACTAGAGAAAAATGCAAAATACCAGAGACTGGTGGTTTACACAACAAACATTCCTGTATCTCAGGCCTGGAGGCTGGGACGTCCAAGTGACGCACTTAGACACGGGGTCTGTCGGGGAAGCTCTCCTGATAAGGTGACATTGAGAAGTGACCTGAGGAAGCCAGACAGTAAGTCTTCAAAGTGTGTGTGTAGGGTGTGTGTGTGTGTGTGTGTATGTGTGTGTGTGTGTGTGTGTGTAGTGTGTGTGTGTGTGTGTGTGTAGGATGTGTGTGTGTAGGGTGTGTATGTATAGGGTGTGTGTAGGGTGTGTGTGTGTAGGATGTGTGTAGGGGGTGTGTGTAGGGTGTGTGTGTGTAGGATGTGTCTTTTGGAGAAAAACAAGGAGGCTGGTGTGGCTAGAATGGAGTGAATGGAGGGGAAATTGTGTAGAAGAAACAGCCCCTCTAGGCCTTGCCGAGGACTTTTTTAAAAATTGATTTGAGAGAGAGAGAGAGAGAAACAGCGATCTGCTGTTCCACGTGTTGATGCGTTCATTGGTTGATTCCTGTGTGTGCCCTGACCTGGGATCAAACCAGCTTTGGCTTATCCGATGAAGTTCTAACCAACCTAGCTCCCTGGCCAGGGCCACGAGGACCTTGTTCTGAAATGGAAGGCCATTGGAGGTTTCCAGCTGAGGGCTCACATGACCAGGCTTCCGTTTTCAACGGAGTATTCTGGGTTTTTTGGGAGAGTTGTAGGGGGCGGGCCTGGAGAACAAGGGTGGGAGCAAAGAACCCACTTGAAGACTATTGGCCGAGGTAGGTGAGCAGCCCGTTTAGCCAAGGCGGCTGTGGAGGCGGAATGACCGCCCCAGATGCCCAGACTCCTCGAGACTTGACTGCGGGGTTCAGGGGGGAAGTTGCAGCCGGGAGACGTCGGTCTGTGTGTGGTGCGTCAGGCCACGCAAGGGGGGTGGCTCACCTGGGGAGCATTGCAGTGGCGGCCTGGGGTGGGCTCTGGGCGCTGCCGGGCAGGGGTACTCGGGGAGAACTCGTCAGCAAGTGTGTCTTCGTCTAAGCACTTGAGGGTGCAGAGGGGGCCCTTCCGGCCAAATGAATTCAGTAAAGTAAGGCTTCGCTGTCTGAGGAGGGGCATGGAGTGGGATTCGAAACTGACGGGGTAAACACCAGGGAACCACTTCAGCTCGACTGTCCAGCATGAAAGCCGAGGGAGCCGACACAAGGGGTTTGGGGTCTGCTTTCAGGCCTCCTGTGAAATACGCAGGAGTGAGATGCTGTCCCCTCGTGAGATGTCTGAGAATTTACCGGATAAAATGGGTGTCCTCATATAGATGTTCTTCAAACCCTTGTCTTGGTTTGAATCATTTTACAAAATTCCAGACAAAAATAAAAAAGCCAGGGAAAAATTTCCAGTGTGAGTCTTGGAAATCAGATCCAAATCAACTTCATATATGGCGAACGCATATATACAGACGAACCCCGGAGAACTGAGTACATGAACAGTCTCTGTGAGAACACGGCTCACGTAAAGGAAAAAACAAGGGGAACGATTATTGTGCGCAATAAAAGTATAGTAACATCTACAGAGAACATCAAAAGCAACTGCTATAATGAATAATGGTAATTTTACCGGATATTTCTTTAGTATGGTATCACTTCCAGGAAGACGGAGAGCGGAGAGTAGGTGAGAGCGTGAATTTGGGGAGTTCCCCTGGGAAAAGGGAATGTGAAAACATATTGCATATGTTTTGCTGTTTTGAGTAAATGAATTAGAAATAACTTTGTCACGATCAACATGATCTGGCCACAGAGACATCCTGATTCCTGGTAGTAAATATTCTCTCCACGTGAGACATGATGTGATCATTAGAGCCCTGGTTTTCTGAGGCAGTCTCATGAGGACGTATGGGGATGGCAGAGCCCCGCTGTGCCAGAGGGAGCAGGCCACCCACAAAGGAGCCATGCTGACCTGCGGTCCCAGGAGTCACTGATGTAACGTCCATCCTTGGTCGCATGTGTCCCGGGGCCGGTGCCCGGAATAGGAAAGGACTTTCTTGGGACCAGGATCGGAGGATGGTGGGAGCAGGAGTAACTTGGGGAAACCAGTTTGTGGGTGTTTTCCACGCGTAGCTGCCTTCACACCTGATTTTGCCACGTCCCATAGAGCCTGTGCGCTGGAGCTGAGACCCCATGCTTACCACTTGCGACACGGATTGCGCCCTGTAGCATCTTCAAGGCGGTCACAGTGAGATTAACAGGTTCTGCTCAGTCATTTAACCCAGGGGATCACCCAGCCAATGTTTCTTCTTACATTTAGCTCCAAATAATTTTTAATTCTTTAAATACCATTGCACTGCCATATATTCTCCTCTGAGTTTTAAAATGAGGTTTCATTTTGAATACATAATAGTTAAGTTGAGATAGGAGTTGCTGCCATTTGGGTCAGCTGCTAATGATGCCATCAATGAGCCAGATTTCATCTCTTTGCTTTCCTCCTGCCACTAACCAGTTAGTCCTTTGTCCTCATGCACAGTGTTTCACGATCACAAGATGGCTGCTGTTGTCCAGACATCACGTCTGCATTCGAAATGGGAAGAAGGAAGGAGGATGGGGCTTCGCAGGCTACCTTTGTTGCTTTGATTAGGGAAGCATGAGGCTCTCC